AAAAAAAAACCAAAACAAAAACATAAAACTGAATCACCTGCCTATAAACCTAGCACTCTGGGAGGCTGAGGCAGGAGGATCACAAGTTCCAGCCCAGCCTGGGCAAAACAGCGAGACCCTATTTCAAAGTAAAAGCCTGAGAAAGTCCTGGGTTCAATTCCCAGTCCTGGAAGAAAAAAACCAAAACCAACAACAAAACAATTTAAAAACCCCATAAGGGCAAAGCCCTCCCGTCCTTTCAGTGTCTTAGGGTTTGACCCTCTGGACTTACAGCCGGCCGAGGTAACTTATAAAGCCGGACCCCCGCCTCAGGCTCGCCCTCACCAAGCCGCGGCGCCTGGACTCACCCTCGCGGTTCTGGGAGCGCAGGGCGGCGGGAGCCCGCCTCCCCCGGCAGCCCCGAACGTGCGCAGGCGCATGGCGCAGCTCCTCAGCATGGCTCCGGGCAGCAGCAGACAAGCGCGGCTCTCGTCCTCACTGCGGCGAAGGTCGACGCGTTCCTTTCTACGCCGGCGGCCGCCAGTGAACTCCGAAAAAGGGCAGGGGCGGAGCCTTGGGGCGGAGCCTTGGGCGGGCTGAGCCCCGGAGTTGGAGGGCGTGGCTCTCCGGCCGACATCCAGCTTCCGCCTTCGAGTTCCGTTGCACTTTTGTTCCGAGCCCAGCCTAGGGCCTTTGGCGTTGGCACCGCTCCAAGTTTCCGCTCGGACGGTATCCTGGGGCTTCGCGACCGCGCTGCCCCAGGAGGGTTAGAGAGGTCTCCTCTTGTCTGTCGTTGGCCAATCGGTGGTTCTTATCTGTACGTGATTAACTCTCCGTAACGTGGAAGACACACACACACACGCACGCACACGCACATGCACATACACGCACACATGCATGCACCTTGGGCAGTCCCTGGGGTCGGCTCTCTAGGGTGCCGCTGGGCGCAGAGCAGGGACCGGATTGGAGCGTGGCTCTCCTGGCGGCAGAGGTGGAAGTCTCCCAGTCAGCCTTTCACAGAGAAACTGAGGACAAGATGCTCAGGTCGATGGACTTCTAAAGGCTCGTCCCATGCTGACAGTCATGGGCTCAGCTGCCACTTAATAACGTTCTGTACAGACTCTTCAGCTGCGCCTGGCCTCTTTCTTGTGAGTGCTAGAAAGAGTATTAAGTCATCACTACTCAGCTGGGAAGGTCTGTGGTGCTCTGGGCCCCTGGTGCAATAGAGTTAGTTTGTACAGCCTTATAGGAGGTCGACTGTTAAAATTTCAAGAATGTTGCCATTTCACGCATGTTAGCATTCTTTTTTTTTTTAATAAGATTTTATTTTTTTTACATTTATTTATTTAGTGTGTGTGTGTGTGTGTGTGTGTGTGGCCAGCTCAGCCCACCAGGGGGCGGGCTGGCTGGCATGTGGTGCTGGGGGATCGAACCGTGGTCCCTGTGCTTTGTCAAGCTTGTTTCAAGTAGGTGCTTTAGACCACTGAGCCATCTCTCCAGCCCCGTGTTAGCATTCTTAATATGTAAATTGTGTAGCCACAGGTGGTGGTGTATGCCTGTAGTCCTGCCTATTTGGGAGGCTGAAGCAGGAGGATCACCTGAGCCCAGAAGTTAGAGGTAGCCTAACAAGGTTAAAGTCTATCTTCAAACCAAATCGTGTAAAGTTATTAAATATTAAAAATAAAGCCAATTGATTATAAAAAGGTAATGTTACTGTAACTTTCTAATTGTATTATTACATTTTTTTTAATTTTTATTTATTTATTTATGTGAGTGTGTGTGGCCAGCTCAGCCCACCAGGGGGCAGGACTGGCTGGCATGTGGTGCTGGGGGATTGAACCATGGTCCCTGTGATTTGCTAAGCTCATTCTAAGTAGGTGCTTTAGACCACTGAGCCATCTCACCAGCCCCTGTATTACTACATTTGACTGTATTAGGCACTCGAGGTTATTTACCTGTATCGTATGGTAGAAATTGTCAAGATCAGAGACCACAAAGAGCAGTGGTATCTATTTGGGAATAACAGCATTGCAATGAGAATACACATGCTGTAGTAAAAATACATTGTGTGCATACTCAAAGAGGTTAAAGCAAGGGGAAAATTTATATACATATGATTGAATCCAGGGCCTAGTCCCCTCTGTACCACTTAGTTACATCCCCATCCTGTGGGAAATTTTGTAAAGGCTAAAAGTAGGAATTACTTATGTATTTGTTATGTATTTGGTACATGGTACAGGGTCTCACTATACTGCTCGGACTAGTAGTGATCCTCCTGTTTTCAGCCTCCCCAGTGCTGGGATTACAGGCATGCACCACCACATCCAGTCTGGTGGCTGGCTCAGTGTGCCTGGAGGGTAGGGCCAGCAGGCATGTGGTGCTGGGAACCCAACACAGGTCCCTGCACTTGCCTAAGAAAGTGGCTTAGGCCGCTGAGCTGTCTTGCTAGTCCTAAAAGAGGGAATTTAGGTAAGCTGCTTGGATACAAAGGAGGTTGGTTTTGGAGATCTGAGCCAGGAGCTGGCATCAGCTCACTGGCAGAGCTGCCTGTAGTGGGTGCATGAGCTTTCTAGAGCTTCTGGGCTGAATTACTTGAGTCTTAAGGGTCCTGGGAGGTTAGAGGAGAATGTCAACTTGATTGGCTTTGGGATCTGCCCCAGGGATTGGTGTAGCTCACTTCTGGATGGGTGGGGGTGGAGTGGGGTCATGGTGAGGCCCTGAGATCTAATTAGGGGTCCTCCCCCTTTCCTCTCGGGGGCACCTCCCTTGCTGTGCTTCTTGGCAGCCATAAGCCAGGCAACTGTGCTGCACCACACCTTCTACTGTGCTGTTTTTGCTTTGGAGCCCTCCGACCCATGGACTGAAATTCCTTGAAACCACGAGCCAAATGAAAACCATGTCTTTAAAGTATGGTGTGGCCTACAATGGGAAAGCTGATAAGACGGAATGTTCAAGACAGACTTGATTACAGAAATCTACATAGTTGGGCATAGCGGTGCTTGCTTGTAATCCCAGCACTTGGGAGGCTGAAGCAGGAGGATCGGCACAAGTTTGAGGCCAGCCTGGACTACATAGTGAGACCCAGCCAAAAAAAAGAAAAAAAAAGTGTGTGTGTGTGTGTGTGTGTGTGTGTGTGTGCGTGTTAGGTGTATGAGGCAAAAGGTGCCTGTAAAATGAGAAGGTATTTCATGAGACCCTAGGCAGGTGTGCATAGTTCTTCCCTTTCCTTATTTCTCTGCACTAGTTTTATTTGCACCTGACAGTAAGGAGTTTTGTCTCCGTACAGCAACATGAGAGAACACGAGGCGCACATCTCTTCAGCTTCACCTTCAGTGCCACGAATGCTGTAACTTGGAACCACACTGAGCACACTGAGTGGTGCTCCTTTATTAAACAGTTATCAGCCTGTCAGAGCCCTAGTTGACCCTGAAAGGAAGCCTAGATTCTGATGACTTCCTCCAGCTTTGGTGTCATTTTCTTCCTATGTCTTTTTTTTTTTTTTTTTTTTTTTTTTTTTTTTTTTCTGTCTGCGGAACTGGGGATTGAACTCAGACCCTTGCGCTTGCCAGGGAAGCGCTTATTCCACTGAGCCATCTCCCCGGCCCCTCATATTTCTTTGTTTGCAGTTCATTCAGATTCTTGTATCTGTGTGTGTGCGCGCACATGGTATTAGGGGTTAAATTTAGAGCCTTTGCACTGAGCTATATCCCCAACCCTTCTGTAAAATTTTTAATTTTGACACATGGTCTCACAAAGTTGCTAAATTTCCCAGACTAGGTTCAAACTTGAGATCCACTTCCCTCAGCCTCCCAGAACGCTGGGATTACGGATGTGTGCCACCACACCTAGCTGATTTATAGTTCTTGTATTTCAAGTTTAGAAAAATTTTAGTTCATTTTTCAATTATACATTTTGTGAGT